TTTTTTTTTTTTTTTTTTTTGTAAGGCTCTTCCCCGTGTTAAGTAAGCAGAGCATGCAAAACCGAAATCACAGCTGTGCAGGAAAATTAAATATTTATCTCATCGTTCAAGAGGGCTTTTTTCTTCTGGTATCAGGCATGTTGAGCAACTGGCTGAATCCTTTTTTCATTTAGAGCACTGTGTTGTGTCGCACCTCCTGTGACCTTGAGGACACAGATCAGCGAAACAGCTCATTAGCTTTCCAGAGCCATAGGACTCTGGGCACGCGCAGCTACGGTGCTCTTGCCTGGGAGGGTTTCTGCCGGGGCTGCTCCTCTCTCTGGTTTTCAAGCTTTCTCAAGCCTGAAGGAGCTGTCAGACTCCGCTTTGCCAGGTTTTTGTGCAGAAGATTTACCTGCCTTTTTTTTCTTTTTTTTTTTTTTTTTTTTTTTAAGGGCTTTACCTTGGTTAAATAAACCACGCCTGCAAAGCTGTGCAGGAAAATTAAATATTTATCTCATCGTTCAAGAGGGCTTTTTTCTTCTGGTATCAGGCATGTTGAGCAACTGGCTGAATCCTTTTTTCATTTAGAGCACTGTGTTGTGTCGCACCTCCTGTGACCTTGAGGACACAGATCAGCGAAACAGCTCATTAGCTTTCCAGAGCCATAGGACTCTGGGCACGCGCAGCTACGGTGGTAGAAGCCTCATGGGTACTGGGAGGGATCCAGCTGGGAAACGGTGCCCCTCAGTAATGCAGTGCTGTGTATATTTTGGTACAGCACCGAGTCAGCCCCCCGGGAACATCATATGGAATTCATCCGACTCCAAGATCATACTGAACTGGGACCAAGTGAAAGCGCTGGATAACGAGTCGGAAGTGAGAGGCTACAAAGTGAGTGTTCTGTCAGCCCGGGCAGCTGATCTGGATTCCGGAATTGGGCCGTAGGAAGCGGTGCCGTGTATCCAGCGTCAAGTTGGGGTTTATAGTAGTTTATAGTAGCGCCAGACAAGGGGGTTGTCACGGTACTTGCATGGTTTTCCAGGTTAAAACTGGAGCCTTCCTCCAGAAACAGAGGCCATAGAGGTGCAGGGTGAGCACGTTCTGCTGGCTCCTCGCCCCAGCGATGCCCACCCCTGCGAGCACCCGTGCGGGTCTCAGCCCACAGAGCTTCGCCTGCTCCTTCCCTCTGAAGCTGCCAGCTGCAGGACTGCTCTCCTGCCTTCAGTGGAAACCTTCCAGAGGCTGTAGTTGACTCCTTAACTGCAGATAAATAAAATGCTTTTTTAATAGCTCCCATTTTCTTCAGAAAGCAAAGCCAAAAGGGAAAGAAAGAGAATCCTCATTAGTGGCAGTTTTAATAGGGTATAATTTAACTAGAGAGAAATCTTGGGAAGAATTCAGCTCTATCACCTCCCACAAGGGTTTAATTTGGCCCAAAGAAGACGTCGGTGTGCAATTGCCAGTCGTTGCCTTGAGGGTTGACTTGTGCAAACGTTTTCCACCAGAGCTTGAAGCGATGAAGACCCTGGACACGCTTCATATTTTGTTCACAGTGCGGAACGCAGCTTTACGAGCCTGTGCCACCTCTCCTGAATTTCTGCGCTAACTTCTAAGTATTTTCAGTGCCCTGTATTTGACTATCAAAAATAAGTAACTCCTCGGGGTTTCTAGTCAAAACGTCAGATGAACCTCAGCAGTTTGGACCCATTTTTCACTATATATTTTAGGTTTGAAATGCAAACTAAGAAGTGAATCGAAAGAAGGTGAGAGAGACTCATCACTCTGAAAAGGCAAACTCTATCGGTCTTCTAAAAAGTCTTCTTTTAACTTACTGTTATAACACAGCCAGATTGCTTTCTTTCCTGAATCACAGCAAAACGTTTCCCATTTTTCTTCTTTTTTCCTGGAAATCTCATGGTTTATGTCACAATTTATGATCAAAGTGAGTAGAATTCCCAGATCTTAGAAGTAATTCAAAAAAGCCATTTATTCTGGGAAGCCGTTTGTGGCACTGCATCAAACACCCCAACTCAGTTTCCTGAAGAAACGCAATAAGAAGTTTTGGCCTCTCTACGTAAACCCTGGGATTTATTTTAGCTTGGTCAAGTTAAAGGTTTGCCTGAGGGGCTCTGCCAGGCACCAGGGCCGTGTTCGGTGCTGCGCATCGGCATCGCGCTCCTCCCGGCGTCGCCTCCGCAGCCGGGCACCGTCACCGCTGCGCTGGTGTGGGTCCCCAGCAAAATCCCCCGCGGGGCTCCGAATAGCCCCTCTGTGACCGGAGCGTGGGTCTGGGCACCGGAGGCAGGAAAAGAGCAGCAGGAAATCTGGAGGCCCTTAGGGCAACGGAGATCTCTGCCGTTTCTGCCTCCTCGTCTCTCTCCCCTTTGCTGCAGGTTTTGTACAGGTGGAACAGGCAGAGCAGCACGACCGTAATAGAAACGAATAAA